TCTCCTGATTAAGAACAGTAACAGCGTGATGCTCCTATATAACAGGTGAGATCTGAGATGCCATCTCAATCATTCCAGGCATATTGTACAGACATTTCAAAGAGAAATAACATCTGCTGCTACATGTAGCAAAGCTCATTTTCAGTGTTTTGATTCCCTTTCCCCTGGAATGAACTCAGGGTTGTGAAGTGTCATCGAGACCCAGAACCTAAATAGACAGGAGGACCAGACCAGAGTCAGTCTCACATTATCTGACAGCCCCTGAAAACCCAGTCCACAGATATTTGACTGAGCTGTCAAAATAAAACGAATCCCTTTCATTTAATTTTTACAGAGATGGTGATCTGATAAGAAAGTGATTATGCAATGATGACAAAATACTTCTATGATGATGATGATGGTTAAAATGAAATGAGTTTCACTGTTTCAGGGTATGACCACGTTTATGTATTACTTCAATAAAACAGTTTCCAAAGTTACCACTTACACCTTGTGATAGATGCTCAAAACAAAACTCATCCTCATTGTCCTTGGATCTATGCTGACTCAGAGATGCAGTAGGACAGGGTAGAACTACCTCTGTGAGTTTCATAGTCTAGCACTCCTAGCACTCTGTATGGGAGTAGAAAGCCCCGTCTTTATCCTATGGAGGGGCTGGTGATTTTGAACTGCTGACCTTGCAGATGGAAGTCCAACTCGTAATCACTGGGGTAGGAAAAAAAGGTGTAGGGTGTGTGTGTGTGTGTGTGTGTGTGTGTGTGTGTGTGTGTGTGTGAGAGAGAGAGAGAGAGAGAGAGATAGAGAGATTGATTGATTGATTGATTTTGACTGAGATTGGGAAGCTCTTGGCCCAGAGACTGATGGCTATGAGGAAACAAGGGCCTACTGGAACATAGATGGGAGAGGTTCCATGCTGTAAAGAGGTATTTGAAGGTTTTCTAGAAGTATAAGGAGTTAAATAACAAGGATTTTGAAGGGGAAAAGATATTTTCAACACCAATCTAGTGTGAGAATCTAGTGTGCCCTGTTTAGATCAATACAGGTATTTACTATGATGGAATTTAAGTCAACCACAAGTGGAGTGGCAACACTTATGGTGGAAGGACAGGCAAGAATCTTTTACAACTGACATTAAAGAAGGTGCATTCTTGGTTCAAGAACAAGAACTGTGTTCAAGTGGACGGAACTCAAGGCCAGGTTCAAGTGACTTCCAAGCCATGTTCTATACCACACATCTTCCAGAGTAAAGGGATAAGTTGTGCTTCTGTATCTCCATGGCAGCAGTGCCTCTCACATCGCCATGATGACTTGGGCCATCTTGCTGCAAGAGGACAAAGCTCTTTGACCAAGATCACATTCTGCTCATTGTTGTTTTTATGTACTTTGCCCAAAGCCCACAGTTGGACTCCACCAGCACCAATCCCAGGCCAGTAACAGCAGCTGGTCTATGTAATTGGTCACCCTCCAGCCAGGTGCAGCCATACCTCCTTCTGATCGTGCACACGTAGGGTTCACAGGGACCACCCGCCATCATTCTTTTAAGACCAGGCTCACGATGTTCCCACACACCTTCAGATTTCCCATGGGAACACCAGCATCACCAAATGGCTCACAGCCCAGCCCATCACAGAGGGTGTGGCTGAAGTCAACACATTATTCCTCCTAGGGACCTCTCTGCAGATACGGAGAGGACCAGATGGACCCCCGTTCACCAAGACCACTGCTCTCTGTTCTCCACCTCCCAGACTCCCATCAACTCCTCCCAACTTTTGCACCACCCACCACACCTGGGTCCTTGACATGCTATTCAGGGCAAAGATGTGCTACCACGTATCTCCATCACAAAACACCTGTGATGTGTGGCTCACACCAATGACTGTGTCCTGCTTGTTGAAAAACAGAGCCACACATCTTTTCTACTACGTGATGCCATATTTCCAAAGAAGAGATGCAACAAGAGATCAAATTTAAGCAGGAGACTGCACCAAGCAAAGCAAGGAGAGAATTTTTAAGGGGGAAATCAGGAGACCCTGAGTGAAATTAAGGCATTCCTTGTCTCCTTTCCCAACAGCTGTTTGGGAGGTGGATGGAGAGTTGTATGTTCCCAACTTCTTCCTTTTTGCAACTTTGGGGTCTAAGATGCCAAATGCCCCACCCACACAAAGTACCAAGCAAGCCCAGGGTCCCTGCATTTTGGCTGCCATGGGGCCTGGGTCATTTTAAGGTCACAACTTTTCGCGTGGAGTTAGATGGGCAGGGTACTGCTGTACGGAGGGTTATGTAAAGCCTCAACCACAGTGACTCCAAAGAAATGTCCCCACACTGCCAGCGGCACAGGGACAGTGTGACTCACGGGTGACTTTTCAACCAGCTCTGCTCTGCCAGTGGCCCCGGGGTACCATTATGTCTCTCCACCCTCAGCTCCCTGGCTCCCTGGGTGTGGAAATGGGGGAACTTGGGGAGATCAGAAATGGGCCTTTGGAGGATCAAGTGAATTTGTTGGCCAGAAATGGTGCCAAGCGGAAAGGGTGTGGGGCAGGCTCTCCGGGGCTCTGAGCTGTTCTATGTTCCTCCAGAGACCAAGCAAGGCATCACGCTGAGCCGGCTCCACCACATGAGCCTAGAGATGAGAGAGAAGGGAGGCATCCCGCAGAACAGGACCCTGCCAGCTTTCTGCAAAGCCGCAGGGCTCCTGGGCTGCCATTTGAGAAGCCCCTCTTGAAATAGCACCGACAGTGTCATTGTTCTGCTCCAGGGCAGCACATCCGCAGTGGGCTAGAGAACGGTATAAGGAAGTCACATCAGCAAAGGACCAAGCTCACGTTCGGAGAAAGGCCCTCCCTTGGTCAGTAGCCATGGCTTACCACGGCTTCCTACCTTCCCACAACGCCCTCCATCTCCTGCACATACCCACGTTGTCTTTGATGGAAGAACTGGGTCTTGCCTGCCATGCTCTTTAGGATTCTTCAGTTGTGTTCTTTCTCATATTCTTTTAGTATGTTGCTCTGCCCTTAACTACTTCCTGGAAGCCACAATGCTTTATTACATAGATATCAATTTGAATTTAGAATCTCCTTTGTACAGAGGGGCCTAAAAAATGGTGGTGGTGGGTGGGGTGAGGGCAAAATGAAGGAGATGAACGCTGAAGACCAGATGCCACAACATTAGCTGATACTTCATGGGAAGAGAAACAGGTGGAAGGTGACACGTGAGGAGAGCTTACAGGAGATATACGCTCCCTTATTTGAAATGTCTGAAATGCAAGTGTGGGAAAAACCATGTTCAAGTAGTAGAGGGTAGCTCTGGGGAGAAAAAAAAAACATAGGCCAAAGGGATGGGCCTCCTGAAATGGCCACAGGTGAGAGAGGAGGGGGCTCATCAAACAAGGGCAGGGTGGTAAGACCGGTCCACTCTGACAGGTTACAGAGCATCCATGCCCATACAAAACTCAGCTGCCAGTCTCCCACCTAGCCCCACCTGCACAGAATCAACAATGACCCTTCACTGAAACCGTGTTGAGAACACAGATCAAGGTCGTGTCCAGAAAAGAGCAAAGAAAAATGAAAAGAGCTGACACGCCGCAGGAATTTCTCAGTTATTCTCTGAGAGCAGACTCCCCCAAACTGTGTACGTCTGGACAGCACTCTCCCTGTGCTTGGATGAGCTTTCCAGAGCAAGCGCGACGTGACAGCGCATCCACTGCCCCTCAGAAGCCGGTCAGCATGCAATTCTAACGTCCGAAGAGACCCAGCTGACTGCAGTCAGACTCTGGCCGAGACATCAGAGAACGGGCATGACAAAACATCCTTGTCTAGATATGCATTCACTGGTGAAGCCACGCATCTGGGCTTAACCAAATCACCATGATATTCACTCTTTAAAAATTTTTTTCCCCCAAAAAAATGTTGCTAAGGGTTTATTTCTAACAAGAGGAAAAATAAAATTAACACAGGTTTCCATCGGAACCAAGTTTCTTGTTTTGCCTTTTTTTCTTTTGAACAAATTAATTACACACCAACGATCGTCTTTTATTATAACAGGAACCCAGGAGGAGGAAAGGAGACACCAGAGAGAGGGAGGGAGGGAGGCAGCGGTTGTGAGGACAAGCACCAAAGCTTTCTTCAGATTACAGGGAGCTCTGTTTCAACTCCCCATCTAAAGTCTTTTAAATAAAACAAACCCACAACCAACTGTGAACACAGTTATGTGACATGTCCTCCCCCTGGGTGGACAGTCCAGGGCAGGGAGAAGAGGGAGAGGGAAGTCACTCTCAATGAGCACTGCAGATGGGCCCGAGAGAGCCAAGAGCCCTGGGAACAAGAGACGGTCAAGGGAAAGGGTGAGCAAGTCGCTGAATAATACAAATAGCTGCAAGAGAGTGCCCTGCCCAGACGCAGAATTGAGGCTTTTCTCTCCAGTTTTCTCCTTGATGTACATGTAGGGAATGAACCCTACTAGCACCAAGGGTCAAGCATGGAACAGTTAACGGAAGGTTAGTGTCCTCTAGGACAGACGTGGAGGATCAGTTTCCATAAGGAGCACCGTAGAGAAAGCCCTACAGGCCAGCCCTACTGTCACCGAGTCACCTGCAATAAAAATGACCCCATGCACCCAACACAGCAACAGCAGCAGCACTGAGACACATGCCTTCACGTTGTCATCCCTTCATAGGAGTGACATGTGTACTTCTTCTTCATACAAAGTAGATGTCATTAAAATAAAACAATGTTCTCCATTTGCCTCCAAGCAGCAGCACCCATTCCAGTGATATAGTTTCTAAGGTTTTCCATCTTCCTCTTCCTCTTCCTCTTCCTGAAGCCCTCAACGTTCATCCAAGGAACACAATCCTCTATGAATTTCATTCAAGAAATCCAAAGAGGAGCCAGTGGTTTCCAATTGACTTTTATTCCTCTCAGATTTCTTTGCAGTCACAGTTCCACAGGGGAGTTTCTGCACATTCACTTTCACCACAGGGACGAAGCCCCTTCACGACACCTTACCTTTGATGCCCGGAAAGAGAAGGCTGTGGACTTGGTGTCTGCCTTTCCTCGATCTTGCAGCAGGAGGCCCTGGTCCTCCGTCAAGGCCAGGTAGTGGCCTGTGGTGAGATGCCGGAGTCGGAAAGCCTGGCCCCATCTGATGTTGCTGCCACTCCAGCTGGACAAGGGAAGTGAATGAGCATTTAGGTTTGCATAAAACAACCCTGATTTTCAATATTTAGCCTGTGCATTTCAACCCCTAAGGGACAGGCTTCATGATTTCATGTCTGTCTAAAACTCAGCATGCATTTATTTTTTTAGTACTTTTCTGATCCTCCCTTAAGGACAGGACTAATGACCATAATCCTGAGGGCAAGTCCGTTCTGGTTTAAATGTCACTAAGAGTTCCATGTTTCCAAAATTTCCTTCATTCCACTGAAGTGTCCTGATGCAAACGACTACAAAAAGAATGAGAAGCTTGCTTTTCAAAGATGAACTTTAAAATTTTTAAAAATTTTTCCATCAGACCCCTTCCCTCTGTAGTGCTACCTGAACACAAACAATTTCACCTTTAGGAGAAATAGCAAAAATAATTGTGCCATTTAACACCTGCCAAAGAGGTGCAGATAATCATCCCAGGATCCATAAAAATGTATTATGGTTAGTATTATGTTCAAAGGTGATAAGTCATATGGGGTAAAAAGCTGAGAAGGATAATGGGTTGAGATCAGGGAGATCCCATGCTGAATGCCAATCTTTGTCAGGGGCTTCTTCAAAGACTGGCATTCACTAAAAGTCACAGTTAGCTTATAGGATAAACATTAGCCACTGAACATGAACACCCTGGAGTACATTTTTTTTAAGTTAGAATAAAAATTTTAAGAGAGGTACATATCAAAAATTTGAGTGATTTTCTACTTTATCTAAATTTTTGGATCACCACTAAATTTAAATCACATTAATAAAATATTTACTTTTTGTGTTTAGATAATAGTTTTTCCAATTCAGTTGGCTTATTGCCCTCTTTTCAGAAAAATCCCCATTACTCAGTAACCCCCTAGCACTTGAAAAGTTTTGTACTGTAGTTCATAATCCAGAATACAGTACAGGTACCTACTTTTGAAATCCCCATCATTCCAATGTTCACAGTGGGCAGTATTGCCCACTTTGGGAAAAGGAAATGAGCAACCAGCCCTAACTAGAACTATATACACATACCTAGGATCATTTTTTACAATACTCCTTAGGCAAAAGGTAAGCCCTGATATTCTGTGTGTTTTGCTTCCAGAATTTGAACAAGGCTGGAAAGAGAATGCAAATGCTAAAGCCAGAACAATATCTAGATGCAGCAGCGAGTGAGCAGAATGTGCACATACAGCTTCAGTTTTCAGGAAGTCACAGACATTTCAAAGAATAGTTCAGAAGGTTTGCCGGATCTGGACTGAGGAACTTTTGAGAATTAGCCAGATGATGGGGAACAAAGGAAATACCTAAGAGAATGGACTGTCCTGGCAAAAAAGTAAAAATATTGGAAAGAGAGCACTACCCAAACCCTTCATTACCTTATCCGAAGGGGTTCCACTCTCCACAAGGACCTGGCTCGTGCCCCAGCTCCGCCAGCTTCATAGAATATCCTCCTGAGAGCAGAGTGGGAGAGAAGCTGTTTTAGCTATAACTTGGATCAGCACTAGGCAGAGAACAGCTCCCTGAAGGGCCTGCTCCTGCCCCAAGGTTCTTCCAAGTTCTCAGTCAGCAAAACAAAGCCCCCTCTATTTTGGTCTCATTTTCTTAAGCGGAATAGCATCTTCTAAAGAACTGCTTGTCTGTCTGTCTGACACACACGGGAAAATGCAGAACTCCAGGAAAGTGTACAGTACAGTAAGTGTACAGTGTACATTAAGTGGGGGTGAGGGGTGGATGGCTGTTTCCACAAATCAGACTAGCCCAGTCCTCACCCTGAGATCTGATACAGAGGTTTTACAGTTCCTTCAGATTCAGCTCCTTGATGTTGTCTTGCACCCTTTAATAATGTACTTGTATTTTCAAAACTGAAGTTCAAGATAGTGCAAACTCATTTCTATTGTTCTAGGAAGCTTGGAACAAATCTTTCCGCCGAGTAGCTGTTGTGTTCACAGTTTTATTGGTGTACTGTTGTCTTCTGCATTGTGGATCATTTTTTGTGTGTTTTTAAAAGCCATTGTTTTAGTTTGGAGAAAATGAAAATTTGCAGAAAAGTTGAAACGCTAGCTCCCATCCACTCCTATTCCCTTTTCCCTAGTACTGCGTTACCTACATGGCCCTGGTACATTTGCCAGACCTGAAGACCCAGCAGTGGCTCAGGATCGTTAATGGAACTCCAGACTTCATTTTCATTGCACCAGTTTGCCCACTGATGTCTTCTGCCTTTTTCCTTTGGTCCTGGATACTGCACTGCATTTACAGTCATGATGTCTCTTATCTCCTCTGGTCTGTGACAATTTTTCAGTCTCTTCTTGCTTTCCATAACTGTGATAGTAATGAGGGTTATTGGTAGTTAGATATTTAGGAGCCTACCCTAGTACAGTGGTGGGTTATGTGTTGGGCAGCTAACCACAAGACAGCGGTTCAAATCCACTCACTGCTCCTTGGGAGAAAGATGAGGCTTTGTCTACTCCTCTAAAGAGTTACAGTCTTGGAAATCAACAGAAGCAGTTCTACCCTGCCCTGTGAGTCTCTATGAGTCTGTCTCCTTGATGGCGGTGAGTTAGATGTTTTATAAAATAGATCTGTCCAATGATTTTCTAATGATTCATAAGATCTGCACTTGGTAATTGGTAAAAGGTGGGGGGGACGGGGACAGATTTATCTGTAACACAGGGTCTGTGGAATCAAATGATTGTCCTTTAAGCTGGCCCCTAATCCTGGTAAAAATAAACCCAGCCAGTTCTTAAGAATCTTGTGACCCACTGACTGCAATTGAATTCTGTAATTTAAATCCCTACCTTCTCCATAGAGGGTTAATACTTGTATACATCACAACTGAATCACTCAAGCTCTACAAGAAGCAGTCTGGACTTTCAGGAAATTAACGGAAGTAAGGATTAAATATGTACCTTTTATGTTTCCTTTTGCAAAAGAAATGCAATTGTGTGTGGGCTCTGGAGTAAAATAGATGTGCGCTTGAAGCCTGTTAAGTTGTGCGTTTTAGGGTTAAGCTTCTTCAGTGCTCCAGGCTTTAGTTTTCCCATTTGTAAAATGAGTTTCAGGACACTTGCCTCACAGAATGGGTGTGTTCCATGTGCCTTTGTAAGCGATCAACCTGTGCATGCCCAAAAGATGCTCTTGGACGTGTAAAATACTCTGCGGTAGACTTAGCCACATTTTACTTCCATGCAGGTGAATGTTGATAAGCAAACAAAGTAAATGGCACAGCAACACAATGGAATATTAGCAGTGGGTAACTCTTGGGGATGGGGCTATAAAGACTACCTCTAAACCTTCTTCAAATGTACACATTAAGAGATATAAGCATTATGGAAGCAAGTCTCATGTTAAGAGTTATCACCCCAGGTATGTCTGGGCTAGACCTAGAATGATAATGACACCTTGTTGACCTTCTGGCCTCCCTGGAGAATTTGTTGAGCTCTCACTGCGCCTGCCCAGCAGTGAGGGCTAGAAGCACTTGAGGTGAGAGCTCACCTCAGGTCATGGAGGTGGCAGTATCTACTATGTAAGAACGAGGAGGTCACCTATTCCCAACATCCGGATGATTCTTGAAGGTTAGTCTTTCCCACCTGGGACGTTTTGGTGGTTTGTTCTCTCTAATTTCACAAGGTTACAGAAGGGGGAACCACCTGTTCTTTCTCTCTACAATAATTTGCAAAGGGGAGGGAAAGAGTGGGTGGTGAGCTGAGGTACTTTGAAAGCTTGGCTGTCAGCTTCGCCTTGGCTTCAGTAGGTTAAGTGGTTTATCCCAGGGTGCTTGACAAGCCGGAAGCAGAGCCAAGGATCAGCGCTCCGAATGCCAGATTGCTGATCATGGATTTCCACCCTGCGAGAGGCGGCTGGCTTTTTTGCCCAGCCTGGCTATTCTCAGGCTTTTAGTAGAGAGATTTCATTTCCCCCAGGAAGTTAGCACCATCACAAACAAATCACATGCGTGTTTTGGTGGCTGCTAGGCTCTTTCTCACGTTCTCCTTTTCCTCTTCCTTCATAACACCCCGGAATCCATTGCTCCAGGCCTGCTGGCCAGTGGTGAGGACGGAAGATGATGCTGAGGCTGACTGCTCACGTAAGCTAGCCATCACGTAGCACCCAGGAACTCTGCATGGGTGAGAAACTGGCTGACCCACCCTTCTGAGCATAGTCCAGGCTTGTGACTAGCCTTGCTATCAGGCAGAGCACGGTAAAGCAGATTATGGCTGATATAGTTAGGTTAAAATGTAATACCTTTTCATTTGATGTCCTATTTCATCTATTTTAAAGTTGTATTGTGTTCCTTTGATGACACACAGGATACAGAGTCTTTAGCAATAACTTCAGATCTGTGTTAAAATCCTGTGTCTCCTGGCTTTGACAACAGCTAATTCATGCAGGGGTCAATTAGAGGGGCACTCAAGGCCCTCTAATGTGGCCCTTGATTGCTATCACTAAAATGGGGGGTTTCGCTCTATAATTAATGTTACCAGGAGCTTCTAAACCTAGGATCAACCAAAGTAAATGAAGGAATAAAGAAGCATTGTAGAGGGCCTACGAAGATGCACTATTGTGTAGCTGTTCTGTAAGCAAATTCTACACTACGGTCATTTCTGTTTTACAATCTGGAACCTATGGTGGTAAGAAGGTTTACCAAATAACCACCCTACAGGTTCATCTGTGGCTCAACCCAAATGCAAACTCTTCAGTCTGAGCCAGAGGGATCTGGATGAAGCTATTGGCTTACCTGTGCTGGGCATCATTCTGGTCTGTAGATAGTATCGTCAAACACTCATCATGACCATGGAAAAGACGTACTACATGCCCACCAAGTAGGTATCCTATAAGACAATTACATTCAACTATGAATCAAGTAGAACTTTCGTACAGGAAACACTGTTTTATGTTACAAAGGGTAAATTTTTTATTTTTTAATCATTTTATTAGGGGCTCATACAACTCTTATCACAATCCATACATATATCAATTGTGTAAAGCACATTTGTACATTCATTGCCCTCATCATTCTCAAAACATTTGCTCTCCACTTAAGCCCC